GAAAGATGGATGAAGCATCTTAATATTAATAAAGAATCATTAAGAAAGGTAAAATGGTTCAGTAAGACCAAAATTAAGCCTGCAAAAGTGGTTTCACTACAATGGCAAATAGAACATAGGTGCCTACCTACAAACAACTGGATTATAGACAGGACAACACTAGAACAAAGAGGAATAGCGCTTCCCTGGTGTAAATTTTGTAAGTCTGCATTTCCATCTAAATTAATTCTTGAGACAATCCAGCATGCATTCCTTAAATGTCCCGGGGCCATTTGGCTTTGGAGGTGGTGGGACCGCATATGGTCTAATCTAGAAACCCAAACCCAGTGGTCATGGGACTGGAGAGCTCTTCTCCTTGAATCCTGGTCCCCTGACTCTATTGATGAATTATCACAAAACTTGTTCAGCATGGGCAGAATAGCGGTATTATGGGTCATATGGTTAAGAAGATGTACATATGAAATGGAAGGAGTAAGGCTTGATGGACCTGAATTCAATGACACATTTAAACAACAAATACAAACAGACATCATTATAAGATAGGAACAGTGCAAAGAAAAGGTAAAATTCTTATCTTCACAAAAAGAAATACTTCAACACATTCAACGATTCAACCAATGTTAACTAGGAGGAACCCAAGGGGGAAAGATAGGGAAGGTTAAATGGGAAGGGGCAAAGAGAGGTGAAGAAGAAGAACTGAGTTGGGATTATTATCTAGCTTTTAATGATTGGACTATGATAGACCCAGTAATCCCCTTACGACCAGTATCGGATTTTCCAGACCCCTTTCCGCCCCCAGCGTTGAGTATGGTCTCAAGAGCTTGGTATGGGTATGAATGAAGCTTAGACTAGGGTAGTTCCCCCTCAGTGCTGAGTTTGGTCTCAAGTGTCTGGTACGAAAATGAATGAAGTTGAGACTAGGGTTGAGCCTGTAAAGCAGGATGGGAAGGCCCTTCGGGATGAAGAGGCACTTTTCTTTCCAACTTGATGGTTACTCATTTCATTCATGTTGTAAAGGGACGCTGGATCTGGTTTCCAGCAGGTGAAGCTCCCCACCAATAGATAGAGCCGGTTTTATTAAAAAAATAATTAAAAAAAAAAATCATTGTCGTAGTTGAGGCGCCTTTCCTTCCCGTCGTTCTGGTGCCGCGACGACATTCCTCACATGGGATTCCTGTGCATGGCATGATTATCTTGGTTTGCTTATATTTTTCCATGTGTTCCTGTGTCCGCTTATTGGACTCATCCTCATTGGTTGTTTCCCTTGTGTCGTGCAACCTCGTTGCCACTTTGGTGAGTCCACCATCCTTTGGAGACATCCGCTTGCTTTTTTAAGAAAAATAAAACAACCATTCTTCGTTGCCCTTGCATTTTTAATATGTCGGGGGCAGTGATGCTCCCAATATTTTTGCCTTAGAAGAACGCCACCCGTTTTTTACCCGCTTCCCGAAACTTTTTAAAAAATTATATTTTATCGTTTTTCTCGGAATCCTCTCACTCCACTTGTAACTCCGTTGTTTGACCCATTTCTTTGTCTTGTCTGTCCCTGCACTATCACGACCCTTCAACTGTCGTTTCTTCTTGTTATGGTGTCCTATTGGTCCCAAGTCCTGTCTTGGGTCCCTTGGTTCTAACGGTCCTATTCTTACTGCTCGTTTAACTTTTTTTTTCCCTCCTATCCTCCTTCCCAGGATTCCTCTGCTGTGCACATTCTGGTCATATTCCGTGTCTCAAGAGTCAGAATTTAATTTGAGAACCAAGGGTTTAGATATTTTCCCCTTACTCATTCGCGATATCCTCATCGTGCTTTAGTCAATAATACTTAGTCACTAGGGACGATGTGAATAGGAGGGGTAAAATAGTTATGGATAGACGAAGGGAGAGGTGGACATGGTTAGTTGTTAATATGTCGGGGAATTTTCAGCTTTTTTCTACACAACATTTTCATGGTTTCTCGTCTGTTTAGTGTCTTACGCGTCTTGGGGAGGGGAGGGATACTTCACCTGGTTTTGTCATCATCCGTAGCATTTCAACACCATCTCGATTTTGTCTTATTCATTACCCTTAGTACATCAAAACTACTTTGGTTTTGTCTGATTCATTACCTTTGATGCATCAAAACCACTTTGGTTTTGTCTCATTCATCACCCTTATAAGGTCCAACAATCTGTTTTTCGGCCCGTGCAACCTATGTCCCCCTCCCCTATTGCGCGAAGCTTGCCAACACTTTGGGGTGATTTCCGACCATCCCATTCTCTCTCCCACCCGATTGTCAAGCTTATTTTTCAGACCTGTTCTCAAGCCAATCTCCTGCTTAGGCCTGTCCTCGAGCTCATTCTCAAGCCTGTTCTCAAGCGCATTCTTTAGTTTGTTCATGCCCATTCTCAGACCAATTGTCAGGCTCATTCCCAAGCCTGCTCTCAAGCTCATTCTCAATTTTGCTTCTTGAATCAATTCCCATGCTGATTCTTAGGTCTATTGTTTGGCTCATTCTCAAGCCACTCTTAAGTCATTCTCAAGCCATACCTCAGGCTCATTCTCAGGCCTAAATTCGCCCAATCTCATATTTATTTTCAAGTCCGTTTCTCTTTCAAATCTCTTTTTGAGCCCAGGGGACAGAAAATGCTCTTTGTTCACTACTTTTTTCCCATGGATGGCATGAAGGACCTTTTGAAAAGTTTTTTCGCGCGTTTGCTTGGCAGGTACATTGCTCACCTTTTCCCCACTCGATTGCAATGTCCTCATCGGAGAACTGGTTCTCACTCTGAAGGTCCATAAAACCTATGCCTGTCTGAGTGAAGGGTGCTGACTACCAGTCATTAAAGGGAGGGTGATCATTCATTATTTTGGTTGTTACCTGCCCCACCCTTCCTACTCAGCCCGACTATCGCTATCTCAAGACGACCATGAACATTAGGGTAACTCCCTACATATGATAGGCAGGTCCTGTCCTGAGCCTCCTAGGACCCCGTCTTGTCGCTAGCCAACCTGCTACAAATTATCCTTTCCGAGTGGTGTTTTAATGGATCGGGCTCTTTCCTTTCAGGAGACTGTGGTCTCTCAGTTAGTATGTGGGTGCATTACGAAGTCCCCATGGTTAGTTCCCGGAATGGTTTCAATACACCGACACAACGGTTTCAATGCCCCATTGTGGTGCAGACTCCACTTTTACCTCTTAGGCCTCCCAGGGGACAATGCTGCTCAACTTAGCGTGAGCGACCTTGGTCCGTTTCGTTGCCTTACCGCCTCGCTATGACATGGCTTCGGGTTAGGAAGGGTAATACAATTAGAATAGCCTGTTTGGTCCCGTCGTGGACCCCCTACTACCCCCTAGATGTTTAGATTCTCATCGAGAGGCGTCGTTCGAATTTTCCTACTAGGACCCGTCATTGGAGTTCGTTCCGAGTATTGAGCAACATCAGTTTCATAATCCCTTAACCCCTCCCTGCTCATGAGGGATTGGTCACGCTTGGACATTTCACAGAATGGCAAAGGTCCCGGGGTCATGCCGCAGAGGTTGACACTCCACCTTCAGCTGAGGCCTGGGACTAGAAAGTAGAAAGGTTGTTGATTCAAAATGTGGTCGTCATAACCCACCGTTCCTAGGGTCCCTTTTATGCTATACAATTTTCAATCCTCAATTAAGTACTCGTCATGACTCATTCCAATACTTATCATCCTTTGCAATTCTTCACAGGCTGATTTTTATAGGTCGGTCAAGTGACCATTCTCATCCCTTGGCTTTTAACTCAGGGCTCAACCTTAGACTCGTTTTCATGATAGTTTTCAACCACTCTTAACAAGCAATCATGCAAGGGGACCCTATTGCCAATTCTCAATTCCTCATAGAATCTCCTCTTCCTACGACAGGAGATCCTATGACCATTCTCAAATGATTTTTTAAGGGGTCATTCTCATGTTTTTCTCTACTGATTCTTCTTCAAAGTCCAATGCAATATTCTAACAGCGCACGACATGATGAGCATTGAGAACGCGGATCCGACTTCAATCCTGGGCTAGAAGGTGGCCATTGTTTTACATTGTCACGCTATCATTCTTATTCCATATAACGCTTAACTGACATTTTTTCCAATACAAGAGACAATCACATACATCCAGCTTAGCATCTAATGCGTCAAAAGGCTTGTCTCAACCTACGTAGCACCGTACTCCCGTTTGGAGGCAAACGAGAACAAACGAAAAACCCTTCGAACGCGGTCTTTTGGCCAAGGTTAAGTGTAGTATCTGTCTGTTCTGATTAGTTTAATATCCGATCCGTGGTCTATTGGACCACACACAAGAGGGGAAAAAAAAAAAAAAAAAAAAACGTTCTCAGAAAAATTTGAAAAACGTATACGTTATGTAAAATAACAATACAAGCAACTTTTGCTTTTGAGTCATGTTCAAATTCTCAGTCAATCATGAGTTAAAAAAAAAATAAAATGAATTATATATATACTGCGTAGCATTCTGTTCGCGTTCGGAACCGAACGCGAACGGGTCCCGAAACCCACCGAACACGAACGTTTTTTTTTTTTGTTTTTTTTTTTATATATATAGGGGTGATGAGGCGAGGGGGGCGGGGGATTTTTTGTCTGTTTGTCTGCTGTTCTGCCTGTCTGTCTGCCTATCTGTCTGTCTATCTGTCTGTTTGTCTGTCTGTCTGTCTGTCTGTCTGTCTTGCTGTCTGTTTGTCTGTCTGTTGTTCTGCCTGTCTGTCTGTCTTGCTGTTTGTCTTTCAGACTCTTTCTATCTGTCTTTTTGTCTGTCTGTCTGTCTGTCTGCCTGTTGTTCTGCCTGTCTGTCTGTCTGTCTGTCTGTTGTTCTGCCTGTCTTGCTGTCCATCTTTCTGTCTGTCTGTCTGTCTGTCTGTCTGCTGTTCTGCCTGTCTGTCTGCCTGTCTGTCTGTCTCTCTGTCTGTCTGTTTGTCTGTCTTGCTGTCTGTCTATTTGTCTGTCTGTCGTTCTACCTGTCTGTCTATTTGTCTGTCAGACTGTCTGTCTGTCTGTCTGTCAGACTGTCTGTCTGTCTGTCTGTCTGTCTGTCTTGTTGTTCGGTTATGCATGAGTAGCAGCCACGTCAGCAGCTGCCACATCAGCAGCTGCCATGTCAGCAGCTGCCACATCAGCAGCTGCGACGTCAGCAGCTGCCACATCATCAGCTGCCACATCAGCAGATGCCACATCAGCAGCTGAAGTGCCAGCTGCTGATGTGGCGGATGCTAGCGTGGCATCTGTTGACGTGACAGCTGCTGATGTGGTAGCTGCTGACATGACAACTGCTGATGTGGAAGCTGCTGCCGCATCAGCAGCTGAAGTGCCAGCTGCTGATGTCTTGTTGTTCGGTTATACCGTGTCAGCAGCTGGCACGACAACAGATGCCACGTCAGCAGCTGCCACATCAGCAGCTGAAGTGCCAGCTGCTGATGTGGCAGTTGTTGATGTGGCATCGGCTGATGTGGTGGCTGCTGATGTCGCAGCTGCTGACATGGCAGATGCTGACCCCAGCCCATGCAGAGCACTTGCAGCAGTCATGACTGCTGCCATTGCCAACTGCGGCTGGTACGACAGCACAAAAAAAATAAAAATAAAAAAAATGGCACACATACACAGCCGCACATACACACACACACACACACACACACACACACACATAGATACACACACACACACACACACACACACACACACACACAGATACGCACTGACACCCTCAACACACACACGCTCGCTACAGTTCGCGAGTAAAGACTACATGCAGAGTTTGCAGACAGTTGATTAGGAGGAGTAGGGCCCAATTCTTTGACAAAAGAGAAACAATGAGTTCATTCGTCTCTCTCTCTCTCACTCTCTCTGTCTCTGTCTGTCTCTCTCTCTCTCTCTCTCTCTCTCTCTCTCTCTCTCTCTCTCTCTCTCTC